AGGCAATGGAAAATTTGTGTCTAGAAGAACCAAGAAAAGTTCAGCTGAGCCTAAGAGAGTTTTTCCTAGGGCTTTTGATGAGTGATAGATGGAGGGTATTGATGAGGCAGCATGTAAGCAAGTGGTATGTGAGAGTGATAATGCTTGAATGCAACTTAGGGAAGTGTCTGAAAAGAATAGGCAGAGACCAAGTTTGCATGAGTAACAACTACCATGTAAAGAATTTAGTGCCTGCTGGATAAGATTACTATTCTTTCAACATGGACAATGAAGAAATACCCTCTTCAGAATTAGGGAATGCCTTAAGAAGGCCCTGGTACCATGGCGTCACATTATCTCAGCTGCTGTGTTAAATCAAAATAAAGATGAAAAACAGTTACTGTTGCCTTCTGCTTTGGCTCCCAGGAAAACCTCTTAGGGAATCTTAATGCAGTTGGTACAAGGGAAAGTCTGCAGGAATGGGCCTGATCAGTATCTTCTATAAAGCTCTACAGAGGGCTCTGATGTGGAGCAACATGAGACCCATTCCTTGGACCAATAGAAATAACGTTGAAGAAAGAAAGCAGCATGAATTAATTGAGAATGCCTTGTTGAGGGTTGTGAGTTTGAAGGGGATAGGTATGGATTAATAGACTCTTGTGGGCTCACTGTTTAAGGAAAGGAGGAAAGGAGGAAAGTTATAGAGGCACTATATCCCATTCACTTTGCTTTATTTGTAACGGGTTCTGAGACCTGGGCTTGCTGGTTCAGAAAGAGAACCAAGATCCTGGAGAAAGATTATCTTAGGCTAAGTACATGATTATCAAGCAAAATTCTGCTCTGAACTCTAGCCACAAAACCACTTCTCTGCCTCTCTAGAAATGAGCCTAGACAAAGAAGGGAAAACAGCATGTGCAGAAAAGTCGTAATGGTTTTTATTTTTAAGCTTTCCAAAAAGCCCATTTTCTGGTGTGCATGGACCTGAGATGCTTAGTATATAATATAACTAGATACATTTGAAATAATTAGGGAGAAATTGATGGGCCAAATGAGGGCCTTTCTGCTGAGACAAAGAAATTGAGTAGTGATGGACATAGATCAGTTTTTGTTTGTGGATTAGAGGGTGGGCATTAAATCTTAGTGATCAGTAGGATTTCTCATTATAACCTCAGCGTGCTGGTTTGGAGTGCCTGAGAATCCATTGTTTGTCTTCTTATTTATCCACCCCCCCATGCCAATAAATACAACCTATATAGAACCCACTTATGGAATCTACTCTGCTTAATCTACTCTTGGTAATCTTTCCTTGGGTGTTTGCTGCAAAGAAAAGGAGTCCAGAGAGGACAATATTTTCATAAAAGAGTATGGTTCTAGAAGAGGCAAGGAGTTGGAATCCATGGCACATCTTCCTTAACAAGGGTCAGGGGCCCAAAGTACACAAATGAAGAAGAAAAGCCATCAGTGCAGTGATCTGTGGTAGTTTTCCCATTCAGGTCTGTAAGTAAAAGCTAAGTGTTGAAAAGGTCTTGAGGATTAAAACACTCGAATTTGTTTGTGAGGGAAATCTTCCTGGAATCAGAGTTGGATAAATTGAAGTTTAAAACAAAACACAAAACAAGCAAATAAAACCAGGTAGATTTTTAACCACTGTCCTAATTTAAAAAGGGGGGGGGTGGGATAGCAAAAGGCTTAGGTAGAATGAGTGAAAACAAAGGACCATACCAGAAACTGAGTGAAAACAAGGGGCCCACATGGTGCACAGGCTATGCCAGACGACATAAGAGATTTCAGAGTGGCAAACTGCAGTTTGCCACTAGTGTGCTCTGTTTTAGGCTTATAGAGTCTGTGGTAGCTGCCTAAATATGCAGGGTTATTATCTAAAGAATAGGGGGAATCTCGGTCTCAAGGTACCAGCTTAGGCTTGCCATATGAATAGAGAAAACCTTATATAGAGAGTACAATGTGAGAAAAAGAATGGCAAAAAGATGCCTTTCAGATCAACTTCGGAGGAATTAAGGACAAAGGAGTCCAGGGTTGACTGGAGAGAGCAGAATGGTAGGAGGAAAAATACCTGGATGGGAAGAGTATGGGTTATAATTAGGATTCCAGGGAAGTTCAATTTCAAGACACCAGCTGCAGTCAACACAAATAGAGAAGACAGGGGAAATCCACTGAAAAATGCGACTAAGTCCCACAAGTTCTCATAGAACAGTGGACAGAAGCCAGCTGTAACTTGGCTACAAGTAAATAGTTGAGAAAGTGGACACAGCAAACATTGGTTGACAACTCTGCTGTGATGGAAAAGAGGTAGACGAGGAAAATACTGGCATCTAGAGGGTTTTAAAGGATACTTGAAGCATGAAGGATGATAGAACATTGCACTAGGAATCATGTGTAGTGAGGTTACAATATACTGGTGTGGTCATTGGTCTCTGGTGTGTCTGGCATTGCAAAAGGCAACAGCAATGGTAGTGAACTTACACAGCATTTCATTCGAAATGCTCCTCAATATCTGATTTTACAAATGGGGACTCATCTCTCCATCATGGCTGCTTTGGAAAGTGGATTCTACTATTATACCGTTTTCTTACAAGGAAACTGTGCTAGAGACATTAACCTGCCCTGTTTGTCTTCTGCCCGCTTCAGTAAGCTACACAGTAAACTCTGCTTCCAAAACAATACTTTAAAAGCACACATCTTCGGATTTGGTTGAAAGGTGGGTGCCGGGCCTATATTTATAGGTATGGCTCAGTTATCTTTTAAAATGAAATTTCTTCAGAGAATGCTTGTTTTTGCAGTTATTATATTTGTAAGAGGTTGAAGACTTAAGTCATTTCTTGACTGGTCAGTACTGAATGTCAGTACTTTGTCAATACAAAGCAATACAAAAACTTGTCTTGAAAATAGGTTTAGCGAGGAACACCAACATAGATATTTTGTAGTCACAGAAATTAAAATAAAATGTTGGTGCATAATTCCAGTAGGAATCTCAGTAGGATGTAGGAGGGGTGGAGAGAGCAATGATGGATCTAGAATGATGCTGAAGCAAAAGTAATCTTAACTATGAAATTGGATGAGACTTCAAGTTGCTTGTAGGAGAACACTTTAAAATTGAGCACACTTTTGAATTGGTAGTATATTGTTCATATTAATGGCTTCACCTTTTCCTAGTTTTATGCCTTTATCACCAGATTTTTTTTGAAAAATTCCAAGAATAAGAATTTACGAACCTCCAGTGTTATCGTTATTAACACCAATGGAAGTTTCCTGATTTACACGAAGCATCTCATTTATCACTAAAAAACAAACAAATGAAACAGGAAATGGCTCACCGATACCCCCCACTTTACACCTGAGGAAACAGGTAGGCTAAGGCCACAGACCTAGAGAGCAGCCATGTTTAGACATGGAATAGACAGAGTGAATCCAGATTTGGGCTCTTAACCCATCCACTGTACTGCTCATTTTAGTGCCCTGATCTCTCTGCTTCCATCCCAGTTTCCCCGGGGCTAGCACGTTTAAAAATGGGAAGATTATCCATCAGAAATTTTTGTTTAGGGATTGATTTGTCAGAACCAATATTGGGAATATTTGAACCTAGTAAAAAATAGTTAAAATGTATCTCAGTAAAGGCAGAAAAAAACTCTCCTTTTTATGGGCCGAGGTTACAGCAAAAAAAAAAAAAAAAAAAAAAAAAAAAAGACTTGATTAGCCATTTAGCAAGGCTCTTGAGACAGAGAGTATATGTATGACTCTTTCCTCGATTATACCCATCTTCCTTTCGAATGCTCTGCTCATTGCTGGGGTACAGAAATAGAGACAGCATCTCACTGATGTCATCTGGTGGAGCTAATACTCTGAATGAGATCCAGCAGTGAGAAATAGATCCAAACAGTGACAGTGGTCAGCTTTCATCTGGAATATTACAAAAACAAAAAAACAGCCAGGCAAAAAAAGTGTGGTCTCTTTGCCCTTCTCCTTGCCTCCTGTGCTGCAGCAGAGAGCTGATGGGGAGACTCTAAAGAACTTGGGTCAGGATGTATCGCTGGTGCACGAAAGGACTTTGGGAGCACATTCCCCATGGAGGGATACTCCCTTAGCCTACAGGCAGGAGGGAGGGCCTAGTCCCTACTCCAAATAACTTGACAGATTTTGTTGATCCCTCCTGGAAGGTATCACCCTCCCTGTGGAGTGGGAAGTAGGGATGGGAGGGTGGTCAGGGGGCATGGGAGGAAGGGAAAGAGGGAGGGAGGGAGAGAGAGGAGGAAGGGAGTGAGAGGGAACTGGGATAAATATGTAAAATAATAAAAAGAAAGAAAGGAAGAAAGAAAGAAAGAAAGAAAGAAAGAAAGAAAGAAAGAAAGGAAGAAAGAATGAATTTGGGTAATAGTGCCCCACACCAGCACAAGCTCTGGACGGCCTCCCCCACACCCACACTTCTCTTTTTCTCAGTCCACACCAAAAGCTATAGAAGATACATTCAAGCTTGTCCAAACCTCTATTAAATTAATTTCCTCTGCATTGGATATTAAAATTGAGTAGAAGTTCTTAAGTAGAAGATTTGCTCTAAACTTTTAACTCATGGCAGTAATCTCCCATAAGCTCAGACAGGATGGTGTTACCTAATAGCCCCTAGATGTTTAGTTGTCTGGAAAATTCTGACATGAAGATTTATAACTTTTTGGATTCTTGAACAAATGTCTCCATTTCTCTGCATTGTGTTGGCTGTTCTTTAAGACAGTGGGACCTAACCTGTGGGTCATGACCCCTTTGACAAATCTCTATCCAAAAATATTTACATTGCAATTCATAACAGTAGCCAAATTATGAAATTGCAACTAATTTTATTGTTGGGTGTCAATACAACATGAAGAATTTTATTAAAGGGTCGCAGCATTAGGAAAGCTGAGAAACACTGCTTTAAAGGACACATTCACATATTCATGGTACTATTGAATGCCTGTTAGGTGTTTGTTATCATTAAACCCTTACTTTCCCACTGAATTTTTTTTTCCTTGCAGGCTCAGTTTGAACTTAAGACATTTCATATCCGGGGTGAGCATGCATTAATAACAGCAAGACTTGAAGAAACCATTGAAAATCTCAAGCAACAGTTAGACCACCGCTGGGGAGGAAGATGTGAAGAGATGAGAGATGCATGCATCTCCACTGATGACGACTGTCCCCCAAAGGCCTTCAGAAATGTGTGCATCCAGACAGACAGAGAGACATTCCTCAAGCCCTGTGAAAGTGAAAGCAAGACAACTAGAAGCAACCAGATAGTACCCAAGAAGTTGAATATCTCATTAACCCAGCTCTCTCCCACAAAAGACAGCAAAGACATCCATGCACCGCTTCAGACAGTGGAGGGCATCTCATCTAGTCAACAGAAGATATCGCCTCCACCTCCCACACCACCTCTTCCTCCCCCTCCCATTCCTCCCCCTCCACCTCTCCCCACTGGACTTGGACCTTTGGCACCAGCACCACCCATATCACCTGTGAGTGCTGGGCCACCACCACCACCTCCTCCACCTCCTCCACCACCACCCCTGCCTCCAAGTGCTGGGCCTCCCCCACCTCCTCCCCCACCACCACTTCCCAATGTCCTGGCTCTTCCCAACAGTGGAGGCCTTCCTCCTCCTCCTCCTCCTCCCCCGGGACTTGCACCCCCACCTCCTCCTCCCGGACTGTCCTTTGGACTCAGCTCTTCTAGCCAGTGTCCTCGTAAACCAGCCATTGAGCCCAGCTGTCCTATGAAGCCTTTGTATTGGACTAGAATACAAATAAGTGATAAGAGGTAAGCTCTTCTTTAACTCATTCTAGGTAACAAATTCACAGTATTCTTCCCAAGTGGTGTTTTATCATTGACAGTTCAATATTTACATTGGGTAACACCCATTCTTAAATATAATGTGTGTGAATGTCTTGATTCACAAGCTTAGAGTACCTGGGCGAGATAGTTTTGGCTAGGTCCTCTGGGAGAAAGAATGTGTTGAGTATCAGATTCCTCTTCTAGGTAATTTTTCCATTTTGTTTACAAGAGTCCAGGTCTAGGGCCATCTCTTAACACCGCTGTATTAGTCGAGTAATTATAAATAAATTGGAGCAGTGTCTGCACTATTGGCTCACTAAGGATATCTACAATATGTTTTATGATACCCTTTCTTAGTTTTTGATAACCAGCCTTGTGGTCTAGTATTGATCTTTTTTTTTTTTTATTACTGTGATAAATACCTGAGAAAAATGTGAAAGAATCTCTTTTGGTTTATGGTCTCAGAGATTCCAGTTTATCATGACATTGAAAGTGTGGCACAGTGGGCTGGCTCATGTCCTGGCTGGGAAGGAAAGAAACAGAATGCACTAGAAGCTTTCTCCTTTTATTCCATCTGGGACACGAGCCTGTGGGATGATGTATTCATATTCATGGCTGATCTTCCCACCCTTGGTTAATTCTTTCTGGAAATGTCCCTGTAGATACAGTCAAAGATATGCTTCACTAATCTCTAGGGGCTTCTTGTTAAATCTGGATATTTAGCAGTTAGTATACTTTTCATTTTGTTATAAAAATACTGAGATGGCTGAGTTATTCATTGTTTAGATCAGAAGAGAGTCTCTGTTCATAAGACTTCTTTTTACAGCTGTATTCCTTATTGACCTCCGGAGAAAGTACTGTGTGTGAAGACCTAGTGTGGAGAGCACTTTCTATTTGTATATTTATTGAGCTGGGCCTATAAGGCAGAAAGTCATGATGGCTTGGAAACCTCCATCCACACAAGTTAGAGTTAGATTTATTGCTTCATTTCTGAATCTCTCAGAAGGACAATGAGATGGTGACTTGTTTCTTGACCACTTTCTAGTTTTGAAATTTGTTTGCAAAGAATGTATGATAATAATAAGACTACATTTTTAAAGCTTATTCCTTAATTCAAAATGCTGGTAGTAAATTTCTAAGCTTTTGTTAAATTTTGCTTTGGGAAGGCAAGATAACTAAACAAAATAGCATATAGCTCACACAAACTATTTAAAAAAAAAATTGGAAACCACTTTAAGAGCAGGGGAAAATACCACCAAACCAAGCATGTGATGAACAAAGTTGATGATGTATTTCATATTGTCCCCAGTCCTCTTGCCAAAAAAAGAAGGGTCAAGAGTTTACTTGTGGAAATTTCTAGATTCTAGCTGTATTTATTTAATGCTGATAAAAGTGCTTTATAATTTCCCAAATGAATGGTTAAAAAAAAAAAAAAAAGATGATCCTAAAATAGTTCCCAACACTAACACTAATGTGTTAGTATCCCGTTTCTCATTTGAGATTTAGATATTTCCTAAGAGATGATTTCCTAGAATATTTGAGTTGAGTTTCTTTATTAGAGCTCTCAACTCATTGTGCAGTCACTCTCAAGTGATGAATCCCACCTGTGAGCCCTGAACTAGCCTGTTCTGACAGCACATGTAACTGTCTCACACCTATTTCTCACTTGCATGCCTTCATTTCATCCCCCCAAGAGACCTCATGAACAACCAGTGCTATAGACAGCATCATAAACCTCATGCTGGGAGGCCAGGCCCTTCATCCACTGTTCAAGGAAGGGTAAATGAGAATTGGGGGAGATCATTGATTTTTTTTTTCCCCTCTTTTTTACTTTTCCTCACTTTTTTACTTTTTTTTTTTTTTTAATGGAAAACAGTCAAATGCTCAAGCTTTCATTAGTTACATTGGTTGAGCTGGTTCTGCAAACACCATAAATCTAGTGCTTCACTTTGAAATCAAATGAAAAGTAGATGAACAGGACATTAGGAGTGACTAACTTGGTGGATGTGTCAGCCTTGTCACCTCTGTGATGTATTAAGATCACAACACGGCATTGCCTGGCAATGTAACACATTCGGGTTCTTTCATCATGGGTCCCTTAAAAAAAAAAAAAGTTATACCTCTGAGTACAACTGCTTTGAGTATAAAAATCTTTTTTGTTTTTGTTTTTGTTTTTGGTACCAGATCATTTACTAGTATAACAAATATGCTTATTGTATGTAAAGTAGATTATATAGTATGTTATATGAAGGTAGCTTTACTCTTAGTTTTAATTGAAACAAAGTATATATGGATCATGCATGCCATGCTCATGTATTTGAAAAATCAATATAGAAGAAATTTACTTTTTCTTTAGGTGACATTAATAGTAACTTGAGAAAGCATTTCAATTCCACCAGTGTGAAGAAAGCAAATGACACATCCCCTATAGAGAGGTCCACACACCCCAGCACTTGGAAGTAGCTCTGACATACTTTTGTTTCTGGCAGCTGCTTGTTCACTGCTTCATAACAGACTATTTCTGGAAAATAAAACACAAATTCCCCATGGATGCTTTAGTTGGAATCCCCATGGGGGGGGCTGGTGCATGGCAAAATATTATGGTTTTGTGTGGCAGCGTTGGCTCTGGTGGGATACTCTAATTCCAGTGCGTCAGATGAGGGGCTGACACACTGAAGTCTCCGCACTGATATGATCTGACTCGATCTTGAAAACTATCTTTAAAATCCTCAAAGGGGGCATATCTTTACCTTGATGTTGCGTTTGCAATCCTTTGAAGAATGACTTTGGGCCTGTGAAATGGCTCTAGGATGCTTGCAGCCAAGCCTGGTGACTCGGGTGGTGGAAGGAGAGAGCCAGAACTGTCCTCTGACCTGCACATGTGTGCCACGGCATGTGTATCCTTTCCCCACAAACTTATCTTCCCATACATGCATATGCACATGATGAATAAAAAAATATGATACATTTTTAAAAAAAGAATAACTTGCCCTTGTATAGAATTGATTATCCCTTCTGCCTCCCTGTAATGCTATTTTTGCCTGCTGGAGATTCCACAGCTGAGAGAGGAGCACTTTACCCAAACCTCACCCACAAGAATTCTAGTCCTAAGGGCCTTCTCCAGAGCTTTTGTACTGAAATAATGTCCATCATACTTTTTGGATATTTGCATGAAGATGTAGGTTAAAATATCCTGTTACATATTTTGACTTCTAAAATGTGTGACATGAAAAGCTCTTGTCTGGGCTTTACCAGGTTTTACATTTTTGAAAAGGTACATTAGAGAAAGATTTCATCACATTATACTATTTGATGCTTTCTCTTTCAAGCCAAAATGCCACACCAACTTTATGGGACTCCTTAGAAGAACCTCATATTAGGGACACCAGTGAATTTGAATATTTATTCTCCAAAGACACAACTCAACAGAAGAAAAAACCCCTGTCAGAGACCTACGAGAAGAAGAACAAAGTCAAAAAGGTACTGTGCAATCACCATTGTAATCATAGCCACATCCTGTTGGTTGGTGTTCTCTCCCCAGAAAATGATCTAAGTCTTGGATAGCAAAAGGATCCAGTTAGTTTAAGAAACCTGGGCTTGCTCTTTTGGTTTTATCTTCTGAATGATTAAATTTTATTCTATTATTTGTCTTAATTAGGCTTAATTTTGCTGTGATGAAACACCATGACCAAAGAAACTTGCAGAGGAAAGGGTTTATTAGGCTATGTTTTCTTGTCATTGTTCATCATTAAAGGAAGTTGGGACAGGAACTCAAACAGGAGTGAAGAGCTGATGCTGAGGTCATGGGGGAGTGTTGCTTACAAGTTTGCCCCTCATGGCTTGCTTTGCCTGCTTTCTTCTAGAACCTAGGACTCCACCCACAATGAGCTGGTCCCTCCTACATGGATCACTAATTAAGAATATGCCCTACAGAGTTGCTTGCAGCCCAATTGGTCATATAGAGGCATTTTCTCAATTGAAGTTCTCTTCTATCCAATGACCCTAGCTTGTGTCAAGTTGACATAAAACTAGCCAGCACAACTATAGTCATTAATTCTATTGGGGGAAAAAAAAGGTATTTAAATTGCTATTAGTGAAAGTAGTTTGTATTCCATCTGAAAAATAGATCTCATAGGACTGTGATAATTGCTCAGTTGGTAAAGTGCCTTGCCACTAAATGTCAGGACCTGAGTATAATCCCCAGGGGTCAAAAAAGCCAGGTGTAGAATGAGTGCCTTTACTATTGTCCATGGAGAGACTGAGATAAGAGGATTCCTGGGGCTTGCTAACTAGCCAATATAGCAAACTCTGGGTTCAGTGAGAGACCCTGTCTCAAAAAATAAGATGTAGAGTAATTGAAGAAGACACCCATCATCAGCCTCTGGCTTCCAAATGCATGTGTACACAGGTTTAGGTGTATGTATGTATACATGCAAGTATGTCTCATTCACAAATTCATTCATAGAACCAATTTATTAGACTATGGTACAGGGCAGTGTTCTAAGTCTGTGCTAGAATGTGTTAACATGTAGCCATTTAAATAATAACAATTAAACAAAATGGAATGTTCAGGCCTTTACACTAGCTATTATTCTTGAGAAGCTACTAAATATGGTAACATTGTTAAGTTCTATTGGACAGCTCTTTATAAATATTAGCAATGTGTGCGAGGAAAGAAACCAACCCTAAAATGGTTGTTTCCCTGTGGAGTTTAACATTCATTAATACTAGCAAACCTTGGCAATCCTACAGTAGAGCAAAGCAAGAGGATCTGCATAGGCAAGGTATAGTAGAGTCTGCAGTTTTAAATGGGGTTTTCAAGGCAAGTCCCATTGGGAAAATGACTTCTGTGTAAAAGCATGAGGATTTCAAAACTAACAGCCACTAGCCATCTGTAGAACAAGTTTAGCATCATCAAGCAATCAGGTATGAACCCCAATCTGAGCTAAACATTGTGACCCAAGGTGCCAGTCCTTGCTCTCTCTAATCCCTTAGCTGTGGCACAAGATAACATCTGTTGTGGTTTAGGAAGTCCCCCAAAGGCCCATTTGGTAAAGCTTTATTCCTGGGGTGGTACTACTAGAACCTTTAGAATACAGCGCCAGTAGAAGATCCTTAAATCACTGGAGACTTACTAGTCTTACCTCACTTCCAGCTCATGATATAGGCTCATGATATAGTTGGGTCTGCTATGGTCTCCTGCCTCGAAGTGCTGCCATTGCCAAAGGTCTGAAGCAAATGAGACAGTGGATCTTAACATAGAAGAGTGGGGAAAAAATAAGCCTTTTCTCTTTCTAAGTTAGTTGTTTCAGAAATCTTCAGATATCTTGTTATTGTACATGAAAGCTGACTAACACAAGAGCCACACACCATGTCCTTCTGTGATAATGAAATGAGCTCATGCCGTACATATTCCATGGTGTGTGATCAGCCCACGTTGGATGATGGCTCCTCTCTGCGTTCTGTGATGGTTTGCTATGGTCACCACCATGGCCACAGTTCCTTTGCATCCATGTTTTGTTAATAGCAATGTGGTGCTATGGATTCCGTGAGCCCGAGTTCAGCTGCCAATTGGCTCTGTAAACTTGGCAGGAGTGGTTGTTTTCCTTCCCATATTTTCTCTTTCCTGTAAAATATGATTGTCAATGTCAAATCTACTTGACCATAGAGCTATAAAATCTATGGGGACCTAAGGAAGTTTCAAGTGTATATCAGATGGTGTTACTGTTGTCCATACTTCCTTCTTAAATTATGTGTTGGGTTTCATGTGTCACTTCATAGTCCCTGTGTTGCTACAAACACAACTGTATTACATGAAATGGGCTGCAACTTACGTAAGAAAGCCCAAAAGTTCGTGGTTGTAGTTTTGTCATCCAAATTAAATTTTCCCATGGACCTTTTCAACAATTTTCATCCTTTAAGTACACTAGAAGCATTTTATCATGAGAAAAAGACATGTGATTCCAATAATTAAATATGGTAGTGGATTTTTTTTTACTTTTAATTTTATGCATGTATATGCTTTTGTGTGTGTGAATGTCTGTACCTGTGGAGGCTGGAAGAAGGCCTTGGATCCCCTGGAGCTGGAGTTACAGCAGCTGAGGGCTGTCCAGCATGGATGCTAGGAATCAAGTTCACTGGAAGAGCAGCAACTGCTTTCCTCCCATCCTTTTTTATTTAAATTAGAAATAAGCTGTTTTTATATGTCAATCCCAGTCCCCTCTCCCTTCCCTCCTCACCTGCCTCCTACCACCCCCCCCCATCCTATCCTCTTTCTGCTCCCCCAGGGAGGGTAAGGCCTTTCATGGGGAAATCTTCAAAGTCTGTCATATCATTTGGAGCAGGGCCTAGGCTCTCCCCCATGTGTCTAGGCTAAGGGTGTATCTCTCTATGTGGAATGGGCTCCCAAAATCCATTTGTATACTAGGGATAAATATTGATCCACTACCAGAGGCCCCATAGACTGCCTAGTCCTCCTAACTGACACCCATGTTCAGGGGTTCTGGGTTGGTCTTATGCTGGTTTCCCGGCTATCAGTCTGGGGTCCATGAGCTCCCCGCTTTTTGAGGTCAGCAGTCTCTGTGGGTTTCTCCAGCCTGGTCTTGACCCCTTTGCTCATCACTCCTCCTTCTCTTCAACTGGATTCCAGGAGTTCAGCTCAGTATTTAGCTTTGGGTGTCTGCTTCTGCTTCCATTAGCTAATAGATGAATGCTCTAGGATGGCATATAAGGTAGTCATTAATCTCATTATCAGGGAAGGGCATTTAAGGTAGCCTCTCCACTATTGCTTAGATTTAGATTGTTAGTTGGGGTCATTCTTGTAGATCTCTGGGCATTTCCTTAGTGTCAGATTTCTCTTTAAACCTATAATGGCTTCCTCTATTAGGGTATCTCTTTTCTTGCTCTCCTCTATTCTTTCCCTGACTCAATCTTCCTGCTCCCTCATGTCCTCCTCTCCCCTCTTCTTTTTCCCTTCTCTTTCTCCTGACTCCCTCTCCCCTCCCTCCCTGCTAATTTGCTCAGGAGATCTTGTCCCTTTCCCCTTAGCTAAACCCCATGTATGTCTCTCTTAGGGTCCTCCTTGTTGCCTTGCTTTTCTGGCAGTATGGATTGTATATAGTCTGGTTGATTCTTTGTTCTATGTCTAAAATCCATATATGAGTGAATACATATCATGTTTGTCTTTTTGTGACTGGGTTACATCACTCAGGATGGTTTCTTCTAATTCCATCCATTTGCCTGCAAATTTCAAGATTCCATTGTTTTTGTTGTTGTTTTGTTTTTTTTGTTTTGTTTTTTTCTGCTGAGTAATATTCCATTGTGTAAATTTACCAATGTACCACAATTTCTTTATCCATTCTTCAGTTGAGGGGCATCTAGGTTGCTTCCAGATTCTAGCTATTACAAATAATGCTGCTATGAACATTATTGAACAGATGTCCTTATTGTATGAATGTGCATCTTTTGGGTATATTCCTAGGAGTGGAATTGCTGGGTCTTGAGGTAGACCGATGCCCATTTTCCTGAGAAACCACCATTCTGATTTCCAAAGTGGCTATACTAGTTTGCACTCCCACCATTAGTGGAAGAGTGTTCCCATTTCTATACATCTTCTCCAGCATAAACTCCCTTTGGTGTTTCTAATTTTAGCCATTCTGAAGAGTATAAGATGGTATCTCAGAGTTGTTTTGATTTGCATTTTCTTGATGGCTAAGGATGTTGAGTACTTTCTTAAGTGTCTTTCAGCCATTTGAGATTCCTCTATTGAGAATTCTCTATTTAGTTCTGTACTCCATATTTTAAAATTGGATTATTTGGTGTTTTGGTGACTAGCTTCTTGATTTCTTTGTATATTTTGGAAATCAGCCCTCTGTCAGATGTGGGGTTGGTGAAGATCTTTTCCCATTCTGTGGGCTACTGATGTCCACGGATATATTTCTCTAGTCCAAAGTGAATCTTTAAGAGTGTGTATTACATGGAAAAACTGGAATTCTTCTATAAGAACTGTACCAGGCAAAAAGTCACTGACAGATCATGAGACATATTCTAGGAAAGTTAGGTTCTTATGAATGGAGTGGGGAGGGTGGCTTTTTAGATGCCATCTATCACTATAGGAAAGGCAGAAGGAAAATCCCTACATTCTAAAGACAGCCTCAGTTTACCTCTGCCAGCAAAACTTATCTAACCAGAAACTCCCCAAGTATTGTCTTATGCAATATCATATTAAATTCTTCTGTGTTCTCTATTTCTTCTTCAATTATATTGCTCTGTTTTGTTTCTCTCTGAATGTTTTGATAACATGTTGTTTCCTCCTAAAATGAATTATTTCTGTTTTTGTAAGCGAATATTTGTTTTCAAATATGTTAACATTTGGTCATTCATTCTAGTTTCTTATCTCCTAATTGTGCGCCTATTCAACAGTTGATTTTAATTAAGGCAATTTGCCCTTGATTATTTGTTTTGTTGCTTTGTCTAAAGGA